TAGGGAAAGCAAGCTTTTAATGTGGTGTGTTGAAGCAGCAATGGTGTAGTGGGGGATTTAGAATTATTTCCCAACTCCCAGTTGTTTAGACTGCATCCTGATCATATCCCAGCTCCAAGCTGAGTAGAGAGCTGAGGTATGTAATACTTTTCTCTTCCTAGAGGAACAAACAGATGTGGGCTATGTTTCAGCATTTCCTGAAAGCTGTGTCCCGGAGTAAATGGTCAGGGTGGCACGTGGCAAAACACGCCCATCCTGCAGCCCACTGGCAGCCAGCATGGCTAAAATAAGTCAGAGAAAGTATTTGTAGTTTGGTGATCAAAACCATAGAATTATACATTGAAAAGTGTGTTGGGAAGGCATTAATGAGAGGTGTTTTAACACTTGAGTTTCTCTTCTTTCAATAAAATTTGTTGTATCCCATGCATGGTCATAATCTGTGTTACATAACATTCCTTTGCGCAACAACTTCATATTTTAATTATTTATTTTTTTTTAATCACTGTGCACTGTCACTAAACTGTATTCATGCTAACATTACTGTTTCTGTCTTGCCTAATGCACTTTAAAGAGAAGACGTGATAGGCAAATACACAAGTTAAAACATTTCCAAGGTAATCAGAATATACGTATATGAGATAACAGAGCTTATTTTTTTTGGTAAGGAGGAATGCACAAATGTGCTTGTCATTTTATCAGTACTAATAGCTGGTTTAGTAATACTGAAACTTGTCACTTGTTAACATTTGCCACTAAGAATGAAACTCTGTGAATGTTGTTTTTAATTAATTGCCCCTTAACCATTGGGTGATAGCTTTGAAAAACTTACTCAGACAAGATACCATTAATAATCAGTTGTTAAAATTTTTACCTCCTTGTCCTGAACAAAACAGTTTATTATCAGGCATATGCTTTGAAATGAAATAAAGCTTGCAAGTTGTTGTTCCAGGGTATTACTTCCTCTTCAGTACAGAAAGCCATCTCTCTTATTTCAGGCATGTTTAAGATATCAGGTACCTTGTTTCCTATATAACAGGGATCCTGAAAATTAAGTGTCGGGAAAGTGCAATATTTTAATGTGTAGGAGTAGTGCAGAGCTTCAGATGAGGAGAACTATTTTGTTTTCCTGCATAGCACAGAACTTGTTTTTGTGGAAGTATTTGAAAGTCTCTAATCTTGAGTGTTCACTTTAGGAACAGTGTTTATTATATTTACACTGTAGTCTCACCACATTGTATTTTCTACAGCTGAACACTCCGATGTGGAATAACTCATTTTTTATCAGCTCATACTAGCAAGTTTATTTGTATAGATATTTTAATAAGAATCTGCTTTGTCTTCTCATTTTTCTAAAATAGTTGGCTTAAAAACCAAGACAAGTTTAAAATTAAGCCATTAGTTTTCAAGTATCTGGTATGGACTAATGGTTAATATTTTATTCCTTTTTATCTAGAGAGAGTACAAGATGTGTGTGTTCTTTAAATTACAGGTTGTGATGTCTTCAGTACCTGGATGCTAAACAGCACAAATTGTAATCCAAAAATATGCACACGTATTATATGCAGTCCTTCTTAGTAGCTGGTCTATCACTGCAGCACTACTTAACTTTGTCTTCTGTAGTGGTGCAAAATGTGGTATATTACAGAATAGCCAACTATTAAACTACAGATAGATTCAATCACTACAGATCAGGCTTAATCTAAATGCCAGATCTTCATAATTTGTGTAGGGCTTTTTGTTTTGTGTGAAATTTGCATCTTGGATTTTGCATTGGTGAGTTTAGTCACATTTACACGAAGAAAATATTTCATTTTCAAGTCTGAGCTGCTTTATTTTTTTGGAAGTTGATATAATGCAGTTTTTAAAATCATTGTGGGTACAGAGCCTAAGGTCACGATAGAACTTTATAGTTCTGAATGGCTTGTTAAAGTCTGTGTATGTGTAATATATAATGCTTTTAAATATACTTGTAAATTAATGGTCAGGAGAAAAGTACATGAAAGTAAATTGCTCTTCTGGCTGTTGTTTTTTTCTGTGATGAATATTAGGCCCTTAGTTTCCTCTTCACTGGCAGATTTTGGCAAGTTGTGAAATGAATCTGTACCCAACTTGCTAATAAGCTTCAACACTTCTCCACTTTTTCTGTCAGGTGGGGATGAAGCTAGGGCACATTCCTGGTTTTGGAAACACTGTGGCAGATTATATAGCTTGAGCTGACATCTGTTCATAGAGCTTCAGCAACTCCTTTTATTTTGCTAAGGTCTACCAGCAAGTGGTGGAACAGAGGGTGGGCAGGGTGATTACTAATTCTTGAGTTTTGCTTCCAGTCAAATCCTTTGTATTTCCCTCAGAGAAATGTTTTTTACTTTATTATTCACACTTTAAAGCTTTAAAAATCAATAAGCTGTGATTTTTATCACTAAAGGGCAGGTAACACATTGCTGGAAATGTTTGTTTTAATCCTCTGTTCTAGTGTCCTTAAGAAATGTGTTTCCTGTCCACAGGAAGGCTTATGCACCTCTATGCTGTTTGTGTAGACTGCTTAGAAGGGGTTCACAAAATTATCTGCATTAAGTGCAAGTCCCGCTGGGATGGAAGCTGGCATCAGCTGGGAACTATGTACACCTACGATATTCTGGCAGCATCTCCCTGTTGTCAGGTTAGTAACCATGAGTAAGTAAGACTTAGAAGATGAATTTCCAACTGATTATAAGTAAAGCCAAGGTTTGTGTTTCTCTTCTCCCTTCCCGTCTTCCATCCTTCTTTCCAGTCTGTACATATGAGTGCTGTACAAGAAAGCTGGCGGAGTCCCTGTCCCTTTGTCTTAGCTTACAAGGTACAAAGGCCCATTGCCAGACAAAAGCCAGTGCAGTGATCGTTGGTTAACATTTTTAAATAAAGCCCCTTTAAGTGCATTCACAATTAAATTTTATGCTTAGAATGATGACTAGCATGTATGTTTGGCATCAGATATAATTACAGTCATATTTTAGTAACAATTGTACGTTTTTATCAAATATTTAATGTACTTAGGTATCTTTTACTTGCTTGAATCGTGTTTTATCATAGGAAAATAGTAGCAAAAAAGCCAAGAGAATGGAAAGGTCTAAAGAGTCTTTGTGCTTGGAGATTACCCAGCTCTCCTTCATCTTTGCTGCATCTAACTCTGCTGGTGCTATTCTGCCACAGCCTGAAGCAGCTTAGTTTTCATTAGTTCTTGCCTAATCTATACCTTCAGTGAGAAGCGTCCAAGGCCTGGAGTTACTCCAGAGTGGACGTGTCCCTGAGGCAGCAGGGTGGTCAGTGTCCGAGAGAATTATCCACGTCATGGTGGGCAGAGAGCACTTCGGTTGTGCAAGTCGTGTATGGGAAAAGCTCTTTGGGAATGGCTCGCTCAGGATGCTTGAGAGGTGGCTGTTTGTGTTTGGACACACAGATGTTGTTCCTGGGCGAGAACAAGAGCCTCACAGAGATGCATTCATTCAAAGTATAATAACTTCATGGGACTGTGTGTACTTAAGAGCAATCTAAAATATAGTTTTGTCAATATACAAAATGCCATTTCATTTTAAATTTAACATATTGATGAAAATGTCTTGCTCAAAGGACAAGTGCTATTGCTGCTACTGGATAAAATTACATTGATAATAATTGTAACTAAAGACAGAGGTGCTTTTTGAGACTGGAACTTTTTTTTGAAATAAGGACTTTTAAAAATAAAACAGTGATGCTGACTTGCTAGCTCTACAAAAGCCAGCAATTTTAAATCTGTGTTGCTTCTGTTCAATGTACAAGACAAGAATTAAGGTCTCATTATACAAGAGCCTTAATTATATGATTAATGGACAGTGTGACAGTACGTGGAAAGTAACAGAACTGACTATAAAATCATTAGCTGCAGTGACTGTGATTGCCAGATAATACGCATTATTGTTTCACTGTGATTGTTTCAGATGATTCTGTGCTTACAGAAGAATGACATTTAAATAAGATATATAATTTAACTCCAAATTGCATTGCTAATTTCTATTTTGAATAATTCCCTACCTTATTTCAAAATACGCAATTACACATCACAAATGTGCATGTAGGATAATGAACTGCAGCCACTGTCAGGTTACTAGCAGCTAGCAGATGTGCTGGACAGTAGCAAGAGGGAAAACAACACTTTGGTTAAGAAAATGATACAAATCCATGCCCTACTTGATTGCATGTCTTAGAATTTCTGCTTTTTCAAGCAGAGCAGATGGCTTGTGGACGTGATAGTTTCTTTCTTTTTGAGCCTTGTTTCAACAGCAATAGTACTTTAATAATTTCTTCCTCTCCTTATCCCAGTAAAATTCCTTAAATCAAGATTGCCATAGAAATCAGCCAGATTTCTTCTGAAGATGTAGGGTTTTTTGTTACTGCTGAGCATTAATAGCTGTCCTCACATTTGACCTTTAGTTATTTCTCATATCCCCACCCCATTAATGTTGGTCCTTTCTCAGTTGGATTTTGTAGAATAGTTCATGTGCTTGAAGTGATATTTAGTTTGTATAATCTGTTATGTATTACAAATGTTGAAATAGATACCTAAAGTGAGATGATACCATGCCATGCTAATAAAATTGATCAAGTTATACAGTTGTTAAGCCAAAATATTAAAATGCTGATACATTTCATAGACAGATCGTGTTCAAATGTCAACCTAAATGCTTGAATTGCATGGTACAAATGTAAAATTTCTCTCTTTGCTTTGAGGCTTCATTAATGATTTATTAAGGATTGAGGAATCCCCAAAACAATCGTGTGTATATAAACTTTGAAATTCTCTGCCTCATGTCAGTCAGAGTGGGAGGCAGCTTACTCTCCAGGATTTGGTGGTGGTATTAAATGTGAGAAACATTGTGTATGCCTGGGAGTTATCACTCCGGGTGAGGGATATCCTTACCAGCAGGTCCCTGTACTGCCACATTCCTGACTTCCCCCCTCTCCTGGGGTGGGCAGGGCAGGGGGCTGTGTGTGATACTCGCTTTTTCAGAGGCCAGAAGTGGTGGAGATTTTAGTTATTTCAAAAAGGGTTTTTTTGTTTGTTTGTTTGTCTTTTACAGGCTCGACTGAACTGTAAGCACTGTGGGAAGCCAGTAATAGATGTACGGATTGGCATGCAGTATTTCTCTGAATACAGCAACGTTCAGCAGTGTCCTCACTGTGGAAATCTAGACTACCACTTCGTGAAGCCATTTTCTTCATTTAAAGTTTTGGAGGCTTATTGACGAAAGCTTTGCTTTAGTAATAGCTATTTTATGGGTATTTCAACTTTATTACATATCTTTTTATAGAATTCATTCTGTGATGAAATTTAATTTTTTTTCTAACTGAAAAAGCAGCTTCTTTGTCTGTGTACATATTAATATGTATATATACATGTTGTTAAAACTAGAATTCTCCTGACAAGATCTCTGTGAAGGCTGGAGACAAGCCAATTTAATGGCCTTGGAATATATCCCACGTGTGGGGTAAATTTCAGCTAAAAATGATTTGGTTTTTTTTTGTTTTAGTTTGGTTTTTGGGTTTTTTTCTTGTTTTTTTTTAATTATTATTGTAATACAGTTTATAGGAAGGGCTTGTGGAGACGTACAGGACAGAGAAATATGTCTGATTGGAAAGTGGGTAACTGTAGAGGGTTGTTGCCCTTCCAGTTTGGTAGAAATGGGAAATCCTTGGAAAGAAACCGTCCCGTTACTGTTGAATTAATTCAGCCTTTTGCACTGGTTCCCATGGGCATAGAAGCTGGCACTGCACTGCCATGTCACTTCAGCAGGCTTTCTTTCAGATTTTCTGAGATGGGGTAAATTAAGGTGTTGTGACAAGTGAATGTAAATGTTTGCCAGAAAATGCAATCTTGAAACAAATCAAGATTTTTTGGCACAGTGTCTTCCTGCTTTGTGCATTGGGTGAGCATTGTCCTCACTGATAGACCATAGGCAATAGTGCTGCTTCCACTGGGGCTGGGCAGGTCATCTGGTCATACCAAAACAAGCTGGAGATCTTAACATGCTTTATTTAAAGGTGTTTCTTCACAGACATTTTAGGGAAGGAGAAGGCGGAGCTGAATGGGGATGTGTTTGTATGTGTCTGCTGGAGCCAAGGCTTTGCTGCCTGCTGCAGACTGGTGTGGAGGGAGTTCCATCAAGTGGGACCTGGGCTGTCCAACCTGTAAGAGCTGAGAGGTACTGAGTACAAAACACAGCACTGCTTTTTAAAACAACTGATTGCTGAACCCTTGTCTTTCAAAATTGTATTAAGTCCAGGATCTAAAAATCTGGAGACTTTTTAAGAAAGCAGACTTAGCATATTTACTTTCTACATGCCTCTGTGCTGTACATAATAGACTATGCATTAGGCATAGTCTGAATTTGTGTCAGAGGGCTTTGCCCTTTAGACTCAGCAGTTGTTTTTTGGTTCCCATTTCTCACTTCTGTAATTTATTATTTTTTTTAAATAGGTCATGGATCTTCTGCTTGGTTTCTCAAGCCAGTCGACATTTATGGGAGTGTTTTGTTTGTTTGTTTTTGTTTTTTCCTCCATGGTGTGTTTATGGAGTGTTTGTCCACTTGAGAGGTGTGGGTTCTGTTTCTGTTCACAAGGTGGGATTATTACTTGTTTCTTCTGAAGTTGTTTGGTTTTTCCCAATTAGAATCTTTTTAAAGAGTGTCTCTGTTGAAATAAAGATCTTGAAAATGGCCCTGATACTCTGCCACCCTGGGAAAGAAAACAAAAAAGGCAGATGCCAAAAAAGCATGGACTGAGAATTATGCTTTCTGCTAAGTTAAGGAATTAATGTGCACATAAAACTCCAACTGCAGAATTAGCTCATTTTAGCATCAGCCACTCTTCTAGTAATACCCGAGCTGCACAGAGGGCTTATGTTGGCACAGATCATAGAATGGTTTGGGTTGGAAGAGACCTTCAAAGATCCATCTAGTTCCAAACCCTCTGCATAGGCAGAGATACCCCCCACTAGACCAGGTTGCTCAGAGCCCATCTAACCTGCCCTTGAACACTTCCAGGGATGGGGCTTTCACAGCTTCCCTCGGCAACCTGTGCCAGTGTCTCACCACCCTCACACTAAAGGATTTCCTCCTAATGTCTAACCTAAATCTACCCTCTTACAATTTTAATCCATTACCCCTTGTCCTCTCACTACAAGCCCTTGTAAAAAATCCCTCCCCAGCTTTCCTGTAAGCCCTTCAGATACTGGAAGGCCACTATGAGGACTCCCTGGAGCTGCCTTTTCCATGCTGAACAACCCCAACTCTCCTAGCCTGTCTTCATAGGAGAGGAGCTCCAGCCCTTTGATCATCTTTGTGCCTCTCCTCTGGACTCTCTGCAGGAGCTCCATGTCCTTATTTGGGGGACTCCAGAATTGAACATGGTACTCCAGGTGGGGTCTCTCGAGAGCCGAGTAAAGTCACAAGAAGTTACCTACAAATCAATCCAAGAAAACATATTCCTTCTCTGTCCGCTTATCTACTGCTTGAGGAAATGCCTGTTTTCTTGCAAAACACATCTCTCGACTGGAGGCTAGCAGCACATGCAGCACTGTAAAAATGACCCGTGATGGAAAGATTCCTCTGAACTTTCGCTCCAAAGTAAATTGTTCCTAAGTTGTAGAGAATGCTTTCCCTGCTTCTTGCTGGTTCTTAAAACCGATCTTGGGTTACTGCAAAATGTATTTTCTGTAGATTCCAGTCAAGCAGTGAGGCCTGCCCTTTGGCCATGAGAGTTTCAGCTGGGCTTTGTGTAAGTACAAAGGCAGAGGTAACTTCTTTGGCACCTAATAGCGACTTCAGAAGTTAAATGAGACAGCAGTTTGATTGCTGTCCATCTTGACAAGCACTGGAATTAGCCATGAGCTTTCAAATGTGTCAAAAGGGAAATTATTTCCCTCGCTAGGGAGCTGCTTGCTTTGCTTGTTTGGCTAAAGTTTACTCTTCATTACCTTTCATTTTTCTGATGCTGTGTGTTCTTTTAAATCTGGCCTGTGGTCAGATTAAATTGTGCCTGAAACCTGTTTTGTAAATGAGAATACAGTCCTCTGAATTTGGAGACTCATTCTACTCCTCTTAAATGCACGATACTCCTTGTGATAGTTATAGGAGTTGCATGTGCAAATGCTTTTCTTTCCAGTAGTTAACTCTGTTTTCCATAGGAGAGGCTTGCACTTAGATAGACTTCATATTTTGGATGTGTAAAAATGAATTCATCCATCACTAGGATGTTTACAAGTAAATTTTGATAACCATAACTAACATAATGGACCTCTTTTACATGTGTAATTTGACATCTACCCGTAATCAGCCTGAAATTCGTGTTCTTTCTAATGCTGCGGAGTCATTAAAACAACAGTGTTCTATAGGCAGCTCACAGACTATCCTACAGTCTATTTGCATTAATGTCTCCAGTAGTGAGCAGAGTATTAAAAATTAATCTAAGTAGGAGAACAGGGAATATTCCAATTTCTTCCTTCCCCCCAGCATATACTCTTCATTTTGCAGGCAACCGAGGACACGTGTAAGGCCACTGGTGAGAAAACCCCTCAAAAAGATACTTTTCCATAAAGGTTTCTTGTTGAGACATTTTTGGATTGCACTTTTTCAGATGGAAGAATATGTACATAGCAAATGAATGTTGATGAAATTAAAATAATTGGTTATGATATCATTTGCGTGTGTTCCTAGAGAATATTTTGTTGTGACTTCTCTGTATTAAAAAGTAATAAATACCAGACAGCTAATGGTGTGGGTTGTTCTTCCCCCGTTCTTCTCTTGATTAGTTTCTTACACCTGCTCCTTGTAGAGACTTAATCTAATCACCTTCAGTTTTGAAGGCCACAGTGAAAACAGGTTCTCATTGTCAACTAAAACAAAGCTTTGACGTCATTTTGAAGACTGCTATACTGAAAGGGGGTGTGGGGTGTATCACAGAATGTTAGGGGTTGGAAGGGACCTCGAAAGGTCATTAGTTCAACCCTCCTGCCAGAGCAGGATCACCTAGAGAAGCTCACACAGGTACATGTCCAGGCAGGTTTTTAATGTTCCCAGAGAAGGAGACTTAAAAACCTCTGGGCAGCCTGTTCCAATGTTCTGTCACTGAAAAGTTTTTCCTTATGTGTAGTGTGTCCCATTGCCAAAGGAAAGTCCAGTTCACTTTGTTGACATTGGAAATGCTTATTCATCATAGCATGTCCTGCTCCAACTGTTTTGGAAACACCCAGGTGCTGTGCTGGGTGCTGCCCTAGCTGCTGCCAGTGAGGATAGATAGAGGGCAGAGTGCTGAATCCTTCACTTCTGGTTGAATATGTTAATGGTAAAATGACTTCTGGTGCCTAAGAAATAGCAGAAGGGCTTCTGCAAGGGAGGATGCAGTACAGTAGCACTAGGAAAAAGGGTTTCCTGTGTTACAACTGAAAGCTTCATCTGTGAAACCCAGTTGCACTGGAAGGAGCCTTAAATCCTTGCTTCGTGTGTAAGGTTTTAGCAGTCTGACTAATCATCTAATCCTGCATTTTAGCAAACCTTGCTCCATATGCTTACAGCATGGTTTTTCAGCCTTTGCATATTACCATAGAGAAGGTCAGGAGGGATGTAAATGATCAAGGCTATCTGGACATAAAAAAGGTAAAGCAAATACTGCCACAGAGGAAGGAGGGCAATGCCTCTAGATAGATGAGATGTGATTTGGAGATTGGAAACACTCTAAACATCCATCTGTAGCTGTTTGGTTTGGTTTTGGAAGTAGATACTGTGGCTGGCTGTAATAACCTTCAAGCTGAAAAAACTGTTGTGTTAATTGTGGAAAACACTCTGGATGGCTGCCTCTTCAAATACCAGGATCTGTTTATGAGGTGGAAATGTAAATAAGCTACCATCAAGTAACTGTAAGTGAACATGGTGGTTCCATACTGATATCTTGCTGCAGGGATTGTAGGGTATGATTTAAGCCTTAAACCTGTGGGGGAAAACTAAATGAGAACTGATACTTCGGGAAAGCTCTTTCCCCAGTTTAATTACTGCAGTCTTTACCACTTTTTTTTGGGAAGCATATTGTACTGAGCACTGAACTGCAGAACTTAAGGTTTGATCTGTTGCAGTAATTACTGGTTTGCTGAAAGAAACTGAGTAGCCCGGTGAAAATGTGGAGGAAAGAAAAAGTCACTTAAAAATCTTTTCAAGCTGTTACGTGATACAGTATGTTGGTAAAATATGGGTGG